ACCTCTCCTCATGCCAGAAGTCAGTTTCCCCAGCCTTTGCTCTCAGTCCCTGCAGGTCCCGACCTGGATGATTATCTCATGTCATTTTCACTTTCCACTCTCTCAGGCCAGCCCTTTCTCCCTTCACAAGGTTCAGCTGAAAGCTACCCATCTCCTAGAGAATGATCCTGATCATGGCTTTTGGATCCTAGGTTACTCCCTTTCACTTCTTTATCCTCCTTTTCCCACACACATCCAGACACTTAAAGACAAGTGAAGAGGAAAAAAAGTCAGTGAGTTTTTGGTATTAAAATCACTCCTTCATTGTGGGCCTATCGTATTTTTAAGCTAAAACCCTCTTGGACAGAACACCCATTTTCGCCAAACTTAAAACCATTATGAGTTGGACCATAATGATGATGATTCTGATTGGAATCTCTAGCTTTCTGCCACCTTCAGGTCTCCACTCCTTACCATCTTAGAAAAGTTGGGTATTTTCCTTTATTCCCAAAATTCTTTTCCTGAGGGCACCCTCCTTTGCTACCATGAACAGATCAGATAGGTGAAGAGGGTTTTCTTGATTTCTTCACTGTCTTCCACAACTCTCTCTTCTTTATGCATCTTTATTTTCAGTAAGATCCAGGGTGACAGGCAACAGTGAGACTCTAGTGTGAGTATCCCTGCAAATAGCAGAAGTTCCTTGGGCTCCAGCTCAGTGCCTCAGAAGCCTTCACCAAGGCCCTTGGCTCTGTTAGCTGTCAGCAGGGTCCTGCCTGGGTGGAATCATTCCTCCTGCCCTGTAAGTAGCTCCTCCTTGCCAGAGCACTGCGGTGCCCGGGATGGTCCCTAAGGCCTGTCAAAGGACTTCCCAGAGTGAGGCAAGTTCCCAGGCCTCTGGTCTTCTTTCTCACATTTCTTGTAGGTTCTTTCCAGTAAGTCTCTTTTGTGAGTCTCCAGATGAAGAACTGAAAGTTCTCTTTGATCAGAGGAAATTATGTTCATGAAGAAATGACACTTCAGAGTAAACTGTGAGAAAAAGTTAGCTCTACTGTGAAGCCTACAACATGGCTTCCCCAAAGGGATATGTGGGTATTCCTTGTCTGAGAACTGGCATGGAGTTTTTTTTGTTTGTCATTGGTCCCTAGATGTGTTGGCCCTAAATCATTCCTTGATCTCCTCTCCTAGTGGATAAGACTGGCCTTGCCTGAGAACACTTTATTTTAGTGACTGTTTAATATTGCATTGTTTTGTTCCCATAAATAGCAAGCTGAACCTCGAAAGACTTCCTGGAGGTGTCTGTACCCCATGTTTCCATGTCTTCACATTCCATTTACTTTTAGCTTACAAAATCAACCTCCTTTCTTCCTTTAAGGGCCTCCTGGACCTCATTCAGTGTAGGCATCAGACCCAGTATCATGATGGGTATCAAGTCAGGTTTCCCAGTGATGCATCTGAGGGCTATAAACATACGATGTAATTTCCCATCATCATAAGGGGGTGTTAACAAAAGACAAAAGAAGCTGGGTGTTTTGGCCAACAAGGGGATGAGAAATGAACAGAAACATCCTTAGATTGAGCTGTAAAGGGAACTCTTTTGACTTCAAAAGAGCAACGAAACACTGCTAAAGGACCCAAGTTTCATCTCTTAAATATCGCCAGAAGCTTAGAGGCTGCGACGTACCAACCTAGAGAACAGCCACCATCTTTTTTCTGGGGCAGAGTCCATCCCAAATTGCTGCTGACTCCTTTACCCTCCATGGTACCTGAGACAAAGCCTTGGGAAAAACACAAAAGTGAGGTTCTGCAGGGCACAGCAGGTAATTTAAAGCAATAAAGAGGCACATCTGACACACATGTGGCATTGCTTGAATGGTAGGAACCGGGGGGAATTGGAGGATGTGTAAGCTTTATGAAGGTTCCCCTGGGAATAGGCCTAGAGTGGCCAGTCAGTTTCCAAGAGAAGCCAGATACAGGATTTCATGAGAACTCTTTCAGTTAAAAACTCACTAGTTTGCCAAGGTCTTAGTGTTTGAATACCATTTCTCCAATGAAAGGAACTAGGACTCCTTGGAGAAGTGGCTGATTCTAGGTCTGAAGCAGAGAAAATACATCAGGCGTTCAGAGCACCTTGGGATGCCGGAAAGGAAATGCTGACCTGAACATGCGAGAGCGCTCACACACACACACACACACACACACACACACACACAGAGAGAGAGAGAGAGAGAGAGAGAGAGAGAGAGAGAGAGAGAGAAAAGGAAGGAAATCCTGACATTTACAACACCGTGAAATGACCTGAAGGCATTATGCTAAGTAAATATAAGTCAGATGGAGAAAAACAGACTGTAGGATTTGTATGTGGGATTTAAAAGTGCTAACTCATAGAAACAGAGGATTATAGCTGTTACCGCAGCTGGTAGGTGGGAGAGGGGGAGAGGATGTCCATCAAAGGTACAAACTTCAGCTAGAGGATGAGCAGCTTCCAGGAGTATAATGTACAGCCTGGTAACTATACTGTAGTATGAAAGTTGTAGGAGAGTAGACCTTAAGTGTCATCACCCAAAAAAGGGGCTATTATGGGAGGTGAAGGATGTGTTCACTTTCTTTACTCTGCTAATCGTTTCACAATATATACACGCATGTTATAAATCACTTTTGTGCTTAGACTCGTTGGTATCTCTTAATACTGTCCTCTGAGCCATCAGGAGTGTCAGTGACGCAGCATTTCTTAAAAAGTATACCCTTCTGGCCCTCCTTGGTGGCGCAGCGGGTTAAAGCACAGCACTGAGAAGTCAAAGCCACTTCCGCATGAGTTCGATCCCCGCCTGCCCTGGAGGTGACCACATGGTGTGGCAGACCTCTCCTGACCCGCCCGCTGCTCCCCTCAGCAGTGTACTTCGTTGATCTGCCTGTTCTGCTCCCCACTCTGTCTCTGGTGAATCCTCTCACCCTCCGCATCTCTGGCCTGTACCCCAGTTCTGTATGAATAAATAAATAAATCTTTAAAAAAAAAAAAAAGTATACCCTTCTCCAGGAATTTGTTCCTAACAATGACTACTCTGTGGAGTCTTGATATCTAAGAAGTTAAAAATATGAAACATCATGTCTCTTGGAATAAATGGAACAAGCTGCAAGGAGCTTCTGCAGCAGCCCTGAACTTTTCCTCCAGCTTCATTTTATTTGATTTTCTCCAGATTGTATTGCTTGCCATTGACTTGTAATAGTGCATAAGTTTGGGGGATACTTCTCTACTTCTCCATATGTGTATAAGCCTTGCCACTTCCCCTCTCAGATTGGACCCCTCTAACCCTTTCCTCCCACCCCCTGCTGCTTTCCTCTGGCAACTCTCATTTTTTCTCATTTTTCTGAGAGGTACTTTTATTGTCTTTCATTCATATGTTTTGTTATTCCTCTTTCACCTTGAGCGAGAACATCCAATGTTTGTCTTTAATGTTCTGCCTTACTTTGCTTACCACAATCTCCTCAAGTGCCATCTATGTGGTCCTAAAAGACCACATCATTTTAAACAGCTGAGTAATATTCCATTGAGTACATAGCACACCACAATTGCTTTATCGGTCGTCCGTGGCCAGTGCTTATTATAATTGCTTCCCCGTCTGGGCTGTTGTGAACGATGCTGCTATTAACACAGGGGAGCATAGATCTTTCTCAGCTAGCCAGAGCCATCTTTCTAAAGTCACCAATACCCTGGTCTGTGTTACTCATGAGTAAACCCAATCCAAACTCATATGCCAGTCTTGAAAACACACTAGGTGTTATTACTTGGCTTTCTCACCATAACTTAATCCACTCTCATATCCTCCTTGACAAATGACTCAAGGCATACATTTGCCCCCTTGCCTTTCAGGTATCCTAACACTTGGTTAATCACTCTCATTTCACCCTTTACTTCAGCTTTTCTGAAGAAATTTTCTATCACTATCGCTCAGAAGTTGAACTCAGAACTGTAAGGAAAAAAATGGTAATAAAATTATTTTAAAATCTGAAGCATAGTATCACTTTTCAGATTAGAAATAACGACTTCCTCTCCTGAATACTCAATCACCTATCTCTCTTGGGCTTGTGAAAAGAAACAGGAATTACTGGCACATGAAAAAAAAATTAAAGGAGAATTTAAAAAATCAGAAATGTTGAACAAATTTCAAGAGTAGGGAAGATTCAGGAGAAATTAATGGGTGCTTTGTGCTGCTTGTCACACATTTTTTTGAGAGAAAAAATACTTTTCCTTTTTCTGGAAAATGAAGTACAAGTTGTCAGTGACAACCATCTATTAAGAAATTTCCTTTTTTTGATACAGTGAGGATTTTTTTCCCCCAGAGGTAAATTATTCAACACAGTTAATTTGAATCCGTGTTTGAGTTTGAGATGAAGTTATCAATTTTTATCATTTTCCCTCAGCCTGTCCTGATATTATCATTGCCTGCGACTCTGGTCCCCATAGCAACAGCCACTATTTCAGACATTCCTCCAGCCACAGCGCATGGCCAGTGACTGACAATCACCCAGCTGTGCATCTGAGGTGGTATTTTCCAGGCTGGAAGGCCAAGGTGCAACTCACATCTATGCATGAAAAGTCCTGTTACCAAGGAGTTGGGATGGCTGGGAGGTTGTGGGAAGGTGGTGTACCCACAAGACATTGGCTCCCCGCTTTTGAGAGGTACGTGGAGGGGAAGGTGAGAGCATGAGGACACTCACAGTAAGGACAAGGCACGAAAGGAAGACATTGGAAAGTTCACAGGGTGACCCAAGTGGGTCTGAATGTTTCCTCTTTTTTCCGCCACTGTTCCAGTAGTCCAGAGGCTGCTTGTAGACCCCCGATCTGAACCAAAAGGTGGGACTTAGATCATTCACTTTTGCCTGGCACAAGAACAAGGAGGGAAAGAACAGAGCTGCCATCCTATCTGCACTTCACTGTAGGTTCCGAAAGAAAAGCTGTGAAGTGTGTCGCTACAAGTAGTGGCTTGTGGTAGTGTAATCACGATCCTCTTTGAACCTTACAGGCAAGGAAATCCTTTTCGAGGTAAAATAAGAGCATACGGGGTAAGTAGACTTATCCCGGGGAGTCCCTCTGAATCACAGGAAAAGGAAGGATCAGAAGGGGGTTCTAGCAGCCGAGAGAGCACCAGACTGGGGTCAGCTTTAGATCGCAGTGAAGAGGCCACGCCGGGCCTCAGGGTAAGGATTCTAGCACCATGCATGGCAAAAAACAATGGGTCTCTTAGTCCTGCTTGAGGTGAACTAGATTTGTAGGCCGGACGTGTTTGTTTGCTGCCATCCTCTTTACCTATTGTGCTCAAGTAGAAGCCACGCTCAGGGATGCAACTGGGTGAAAGGTGCATTTTCTGGGGATTTCCAGTGCCAAGGTCTTCCCACGTATTCCTTGCCAGCTGAGGTAACAGTGGGGCTGTCTGTGTGGAATAGCCAGCAGGAAAGGGATCCAGGTGTGCAGGTGCTCACTGCCTATGAGCCCTGCTCCAGTCTATGCATTCTGTTGCTAATTTTGAAGACTTCTTTTCATATGAGGATTTTGGCTGAAGTTTAGAAGCCATCCCCACCCTAGGCTGGAAGGCACTCCTGTAATTAGGAGGGAGACTACAGTGATCAGGGTTGTGTTTAAAAGTGCTGGGGATTTCCCTCCCTTCCGGGGTTGGTTATCTGGCTGAATTCCCACAATCTTACTTAACCCATTGATAGCTCTGTGGTGGAACAGAAAGAATATGGAATGTGGCGCCAGGAAATCACTGTTCATGCCCAAGTTTACGTTTTTTGTCACTGGTGGAGACATAACACCTTCCCTACTTCCTGAGGTCCTTAGAAAAATAAAAGGCAATGTGAATAAAAGAACTTGGACTTGCAAAGTGCCACATCGTACTGCTTGTCAGATCCCTGGCTGTGGGGGAGCTACCTAATGTGCCTTCCTCAGTTACTATAGCCCGGAGTGAGCATGTGAAGCAGGCACTCTGTCAAGCTGGCTCCCAGGGCCGGCAGCTTGCTCTGGAGAGTCAACAGACGTTAACCTCTGTGTAATTTAAAGATCACTTCAACTACAGCTAAAGACCCCCATTATTTTGATCCCTGCCCAGTCCCATTCTCTTCCCCAGACTCTGGTGCGTTTTAGACCTTGTTCCTTTATACTTTTTTTTTTTTAAAGATTTATTTATTTATGCATAAAGAATCAGTACAGGCCAGAGGTTCAGGGGTGGTGGTGAGAACCTTCACCAGAGACAGAGTCGGGGGCAGAATAGGCAGAAGGACGAAGTACACTGCTGAGGGGAGCAACACGAGACAGGAGATATCTGCTGCACCATGTGGGTCACCTCTGGGGCTGGGGATCATTGTCTACTGAAGCGGCTGCAGCCAGTTTGCAGTGCTGCGCCGCCCTAACCGTTGTGCCACCAGGAAGGGCCTCCTTTATACTTTTAACCATATAAATGCATTCACTCCCCCCCCCCTTAACCATCCACCACCATTCCAATCAGCTTTGTTACCTTGGTCCTCCTCTTTCCCCTCCCTCCCCAAGCTCCCTTCCTCCACTCCTTCCCCCACTCCCTTCCACCTTTCTCCCCTCCCCTTCTCCCCCACCATCCCTCCCTCTCTCTTCTCCACTCTATCCCAGATTATCCATCCACCCCCACTCCAACCCCCATTACCTTTGCCCTCCCTCCCCCACCTCCCTTCCCTCATTCCTTCCCTGCCTTTCTCCTCCACTGCTCCCCCCACCTCCCCTTCTCCCCCGCCACCCCTCCCTCCTCTTCCCCACTCCATTCCAGATTATCCATCCACCCCCACTCCAACCATTACCTTTGCCCTCCCTCCCCCACCTCCCTTCCCTCATTCCTTCCCTGCCTTTCTCCTCCACTGCTCCCCCCACCTCCCCTTCTCCCCCACCATCCTTCCCTCCTCTTCCCCCCTCCAATCCCCCTCCCCCCATATTTGTTAAGGTGGAGATTAACTTTGGTGTTTTCCTGGGTCCCTGAGCTGTTTGAGGATGGGGGGGGGTGTTTAGACTCCTGGATACCTGTTTAAAACTTAAAAGATGAGGGTTTTGCACACACAAATAAAGACATCTTTATTTAGAACCAATAACTTTATTGCAAGAAATAGCAATATGGTTTATTGAAAGAAATAGCAATAAGGGAGAAAACTGCTGAAATGAACTTTTGCAAAGGCAATACTGAAATCTGAGTGCCTGGCATGGTGACCAGGGGAAGGCACCATGTCCCGGTGCTATGGGCCAGGCAGTTCAGTCTCAGTTTTTCTTGTCGTGGTCATTCAGGGTGAGCTTGTTAAAGAGGTACTCTGCCATGCCGTCTTCTGGAGCCCTCATCTTGCGCAGGCTGGTCAGGTGGTCCCCCAACTCTTTGATGGTCTTGGTTTGCTCTCTGAGGAAGTAACACTCCAGAAAATCACAAAGATGGGCATCTTTCATCTCGGTGGCCAGCTGGTGTAGATCGAGCAGGTTCTGGTTCACGCTCTTCTCCAGGTGCAGGGCACACTCGAAGGCCTTGAGGCTGCTCTGCCAGTCGTCGTACTCCGGCTTCTGGATCTCATGAAGCCGGACGCGGGCCCCTCGCAGGTTTTGGAGCTCCATCAGCTTTTCGGCGCGGCCCTTCTTGTCACAGGACAGCTGCAGGAAGTAGCGAGCGAAATGCTTCAGAGCCACATCATCTCGATCGAAGTAAAAAGCCATTGACTGGTACACGTAGGCCGCGTACATCTCCAGGTTGAGGTGGATGTTGATGGTGGCCTCGCAGTCAGGGTGGTAGTTCTGGCGCACTTGGGATGGCGCTGGGGTCGTCATGGCTGGCGGCGGTGGCACGGAAAAAGCAGTAGTGCGGAAGCCGGCTCTGCTGGGCAGGTAGTGGTGGCCACGCCGAAGGCAGTAGCGGCGACTGTGGCTGCGGTGGCTGAGACCTCTGAGCGATCCCAGGATTGGCAGCTGAGGAGGCTCTCAGGTCAGGTAGCAGTTGGCTAAAGACGGAGAATGTCTGTTGACAACGGTTGCTGAGTGGGGGTGGGTGGGTGAGTGGGGGCTTCTGTGGGGGAGGGGCTGACCAGGAACCAACCGCTATCCAGGGCAACCAATAGGAGTGAGGGAGGAGCATTCTTTGCGAGGGGCGGGGGCATGAGGCAGGGCACTGCTCCAACTTCCGGTTTCCGGGGTGAGGCCGGAAACCCTGAGCATCCTGGGAGATGTGTCTCAAAACCGTCTTTATGAAGTAAAAGCTATGAGATGTAATGGAAATACTGTAAAGTTAACCCTTTGACCACAGATATTTTCATGGTTTTTAGTATATTCATAGACGTGTGTGATCATGATTACAATCTAATTTTAGAGTATTTCTGTCACTCCTAAATGTTCTCTGCCCGATAGCAATCACCCTCTACCCATCCCCCACCCCCACTCCAGGCTGGGTGGCCCCTAATCTATTTGCTGGCTCTGTAGAATTGCCTGTTGTACTTTTCAAATAAATAGAATCGTAATACATGTATAACACGTAAACACTTTTGTGTTTTTATACAAAACAGTTATTGATGTTTTTAATGTTCATCTTTTAAAACTGAATGATTTCCCATTCAATTTGTCACATTTTATTTATCGTTTCATCAGTTGATGGACATTTAGGTTGTTCCCGTTTTGTGGCTATCATGAATACTGTGGCTATGAATATTTGTACAGGCTGTTGTGTAGACATTTTTGTGTAGCTACCTAGGAGTGGATTGCTAGTTCATATAATAATTTTATAAGTATTTATTTATGCAGACAAGAGCTGGGGTACAGGCCAGAGGTGCGGGGTTGGGGTGTGTGAGGATTCACCAGGGACAGAGTGAGGAGCAGAACAGGCAGATTGATGAAGTACACTGCTGAGGGGAGCAGTGGGAAAGCAGGAGAGGTCTGCTGCGCCACGTGGGTCAGTTCCTTGGCCTGCTGGGGAATGTACTTGTGTTGCAGTGGCTGCAGATAGTGCTGTATCTTCAACCCCTGGGCCACCAGGAAGGTGCATATATGATAATTTTATGTTTAACATTTTGAGAAACTTCCAGAATGTTTTCCAAAGTGGTTGGAGCAATTTATATTCCCACCAGCAATGTATGAGAGTTCCAAACCTGTAATGGTCTATTTTTTAAATAAATGTAGTTGTCTTAAGTGATTTAAAGTGGTATCACATTGTGGTTTGAACTTTCCTTTCTCTAATGACTAATGATGCTGAGAGCCTTTGCATGTACTTATTGGCCATTTGTATATCTTCTTTGGAGAAATGTTTATTCATGTACTCTGCCCACTTTTAAACAGCAGTATTTGTCCTTTTATTGTTGAGATGTAAGAACTCTTACATATATATGCTTGTGTATATGTTTTACAAATATTATTTTCTCCTATTATGTGGGTTGTCTTTTCCTTTTCTTAATGGTGCCCTTGAAGCACGAAAGTTCTTAATTACAATGGAGTCTGATTTATGTACTTTGTTTTTCTCTCTTGTATCACATGCAAGAAACTATTGCCTAATTTAAGGTCAAAATATTTACATGTGGGCTTTCTTGTGAGGCATACAGTTTTAGCTCTTACATTTAGTTCCATTTAAGTCTCTTACCCATTTTGAATTAATTTTTGTATATGATGTGAGATGAGAATCCAACTGCATTCCTTTGCATGTGGGTCTCCAGTTATCCATCTCTGAACCATTTGTTGAGGAGATGTTTTTCCTCACTGGCTGGCCTGGACACACTTGTCAAAAATTAAAAAAAAAATTCTCTCTGGATTACTGTGGCTTAGTAAATTTGAAATAAGCACATATGAGTCACCCATCTTATTATTCTTTCCTCAGAGTTGTTTTGGCAATTCTGGGCCCCATGCATTTCATTATGAATTTTGGGATACACTAATTTCTTCTTTTAAAAAACCATCTAGGATACTGATTGGGGTTGTAGTATTATAGGTAGTTTAAGGGAGTATTAATATCTTAACAATATTAAGTCCTGCAACCCATAAACATGAGATGTCTGAATTTATTTAAGCGTGGGAACCTTTAAAAATAGAGATGTAGGGCCCTCCCTGGTGGCGCACCAGGTTAAAGCACCACATTATGAAGCTCTCCAAAGCCACTGCCCCATGAGTTCGATCCCCTGCCAGGGAGATGACCCACATGGTGCAGCAGACCTCTCCTGTCTTGCCTGCTGCTCCCCTCAGCAGTGTATTTCAGTACATCTTCCTGTCCTGCTCCCCACTCTGTCTCTGGTGAATCTTCTTACCCACCAAACCTCTGGCTTGTACCCCAGATCTGTAAGCATAAATAAATAAATCTTTCTAAAAAAATAGAGATTTAAATTGGGGCCAGAAATCTTAATCTCTGAACAAGCATTCTGATGCTTCCAGACCATAGTCTGAGTAACAAAGGAGCCTCCAGTCTGTGTTATCTGTCTGGACTGCTGTAACAATACCACAGACTGGGTAGCAGAAATAAGTGGCAGAAATTGATTTCTTGCAGTTCAGGAGACTTGCAGTCCAGACAGGATACCAAGATGTTGGCGTTCTGATGAAAA